TACAGTAAACTGAACTTACAATAGGAACAGCAAACTCAGTTGGTTTTATACAATTCTGTATTATCTATCAAGAGGACATCAGTTTGCATGAATATTTTTTAAAAATGAATATATTGTAATTTTCATCTTAATAAAAGTCTATGAAGTAGTAAAGATTTAATGTTCAAGTAAAGTCAACTTTTTATATAGTGCTTTTATATAGTCAAGTATTTATATAGTGCTTTTTACAGCAGGTGTTGTCAAAAAGCAGCTTTACTGAAAAAAATCTGGGTCTGAGCCCCCATGAGCATCACCAATGGCTACTCCCTAAGACTAAGAGGAAGAAACCTTGAGAGGAACCAAGACTCACAAGGGTAACCCATCCTCCTCTGGTCAACACCAGGTACCAAACAAATAACTGTAATTAATTGATTATTCTTCCGATAATCATGTACAGAGCAGAGCAGAATCATGTACAAAAGTGGAACAGAGCAGAAGTTGATTTGAAGTATTTTTGAGGTTACTCACTGGCCGTACTGCTGTTTAGCCAGCAGAGGGAGTACAATGTATAATGAAGGCAGGAACAGAGTTGAAACTCTAAGTAAGAAAGTCGTGGCTTAAAAATCACAGATGATGTATAAAACCTGTCTTATGACAATCACTCCATTCTGGAGGCAAATGCCTAATTAGTAACTGCCTTCAAAAAGAACAGGTTGCTATATGAAGGACTCATCTGCGGTTGTATGCATCAATATTACAGATGGATTCTGTAATTAATGTGACTTGTAGTTTAATCATTTTAATTCACCTACTGTCCTCCTCCACTTCTTTTTTTTAACACACACAAGATACTAATGCTTATACTTACATAATTACGTATAATATTAAATAAACTATATTATTAAATAAACTATATTATTATACTTTTATTGTAATTTCTCAAAAGAGTGCTACACAATAATTTAATAGCCATGATATTTTCACCTCAAACACCTGACCTGAAAACAAGTATTTGTAACTATAATTATTGCACTAATGTGCAAATTGTTTTAGCATCTTGTAAATAGTTTTATGCAGGGGTGTCAAACTCAAACACTGAAGGGGCCACATTAAAAAATCTCAACAAATAAGTGGGCCAGAGGCAAAAAAAATGTTTTTATTTCATTTTTAATTAATGTTGTGCTATAACCCAGACTGGCCATTGTTTATTCAAAATACACAAAAAACTTTTTACAGCAATAAAATATAAGCACTTATAGTAGATCTTGTTCAAAATGTAAATGTCCCCAAGAGCTCAATCTTTTAAACTTACCTATTTACTTGAACTAAGACTTGGGTTCAGTTTCTGAGCTGCTGAGCTGATTGTTGGGTGTTTATATTAGCTGAACTGCAGCTGAAATGCAGTTAGTGTGTTTGGTGATATGACTGGTGTGGAACTGTGTAGAATTGTGTAGAACTGAGGAGTAACTGCTGTCCAATAGATTGTTGTTGGGGTAGGAGTGTCAGAGTGGACATTACGTTGCAGTGCATGCTGGGGAGTGTAGTGCAGCATATTGTGAAAAGGGCTAATATTAATAGAAAATTAAAATACCTATGTAGGCCAGATAGGATTGTGTCAGAGGCCTGATCACTTGTGTGTGACACTTGGGGTTTAATGGATGGACTCTTCACAGGGAGCTGTCCTGCTAGGTGTGTGAAACGTAAAACTCGCTGTTGGAGCCTAGCAAGGGAAAAGTAACCTCTAATCCAAAGTAAGTAATCTTCTCTTAGCATATAGTGTGAAACATAAAATAATAATAATAATAAAATAAAGAATAAAACTATATTTGAAAAGATCAAATTTAGAGAAAAAAAACTGTGTATGTGTGACTATTGCTCAGACTGAATGAGTTTTAGTAAACAGGGAACTTATTCAATGCTTTACTCTAATCATGATTAACTGATCTCAAGGTAAAGCATGCAGGATATCAAGCACCCAGCTGTGTGTCATAATCCACAATTGAGTCAGCCAGCTCCAGCAGTGATGAAAAACTTCCCTCAATTTCAGGGTAAATCAATGTAACCAGGAAACAACACTTCTGAGAATAAAGTATGTCAAACTATTTATACACTCTATTTGTGTACTACATGTTGATGGTCACCTTGTAAATGAATGATTAGAAGAACTGAGGTCCAAAGTGATCTGTCTATGATCAGATGTGTTCCTGCTTCAACTTTCTTATTTCAGCTGTGGACATGTACCTTTGGCCTCAGAGTGAGTGAAATGTTAAAAATTTAAACTCTTTTATCCTTTATCTTATCAACTGGACCATATCATATATATATCACAATTGCTCCAATCAAACACATACAGTTAATTAGTTTAGAAGAAAAAGATATTATGGGACATATTTCACACACATTCTCCTATATCCTCTCTCTCATCCTTGACTGCTCTCTGCTCTTTGTAGATGAGAGTGAACTGATTACCATATGGATGCTATCAGCAGACCTGTAGCAAGAGAGAGAGAGAGAATAAAAATAAAAGAGAGAGAGACACATAGAGAGAGACATAAAGAGAGAGCATCCGTGGCCTTAAGTATCACTAGGTTATAAATATGAAGTGCCAAAGAAGGCAGATCATTCATCAAAGTCAGTCATCAACAATAACAACAAACAACAGACAAATGCATGAGACAAGTGTGTTAACATTCAAAACTTTGCTAATAGCTATAAAATGTTATATGCTTGAAAATGCCCTTCTTCACAGTTAAAACAACCAAATCCACAGTGAACCTACCTGGAAGAGATTGCATTTTTGCTTTGCCCCCATGAACAGTGAGGAGGATACGTATATATGCAAACATTTCTCTAAGGATCACCATACTGATTTACAGAAGGTGGTAGTATTTAGGGGTAACCACTGTCACCTCTCCAGATAACAAATGAGTCTTGGCCCAGACTTACTACTTTCATCCAGCCCACATACTGCAGCGGAATGATGGCGATGACCTCATCCGGATCTGGGTACCGGACCTTATACACAACCCATATTAAATCAGAACTCAGACATAATATGGGCCAGAATTCAGCCAGATCACAGCGAAAGTGAACCTTCTGATCCAGAGTAACACTGAGAAGTGATGAAACAAGAGTTTTGGATGTTTAAATAAAAGAGCAGATCTTTCTTCACTGCCCTCTGCTCTGTGCAGATAGAAGTGAAACAATTCTAAAGGTATTTCATCAGTGGTGTCCTAAAGAAAGCCCTCCCCTTACACATGCCACAATGGCAGTGTCAACCCAAAAACTTCTGCATGTGGCACGTCTCCGAGTTGTACTTGAAGTCTGAGGTGTACAGTGTAAAGAGAAATGGGGAAAGTACAGTCCCTTGTGGTGCTCCTGTGCTGCTGACTACAGTCTCTGATGTCCTTCAGTCTGACATACTGAGGTCTGCCAGTGAGGTAGTCAGTAATCCAGGAGACCAGGTACGGATCACCTTGCATCCTTGCCAGATTATGTCTCAGTTGGAGGTGCTAAATGGTGTTAAAGGCACTGGAAAAATCAAAGAACATGACTCTTACAGCACTACCACCCTTGTCCAGGTAAAAGTAGGCCAGATGGAGAAAGTATAGCATGGCATTCTCTACTCCCACTTTCTCCCTGTAGGCGAATAGCAGAGGGTCCATTGCATGTTGAACCTGGGGTCTGAAAAGGTGTAGAATCAGGCGCTCCAGGGTCTTCATCACATGTGATGTTTGAGCGACCGGCCTGAAGTTATTGAGCTCACTGGGTTGCCCCCTCTTGGGTACTAGAATGAGGCATGATGTTTTCCACAGTGTGGGAACCCTCCCCGCAGACTCAGGTTGAAGATGTCCTGTAGGGGTGCCCCCAGCTCAGCAGCACAGGGCTTTAGTAGTCTAGAACACACATTTAGGACACGCCGTCTAACGCATTGTCCATCTTCTGCTTACAGCCTGTAATTGTCTTCATATCATTCCATACCTCCCACGTTATTCTCCCTAATCTTCTGCTCCGCCTTCTTCCTGTAGGACTCCTTGGCCTCTCGCAAGTCATATTAATCCAAAATCAAGGTCAGCTGGTCCTGCTCAGCATTTTTTTTTACCATCCACAGAACATGGTAGGATGTTAATTGCTTAATAGTATCTTGCAGTATTCCTTTCTGTAAGCATTTGCACTCATTATGTTATTCCTCTAATTTATTCACATTTTTACTTTACTTTGTAATATATATACAGTATAATGCACATATATACAGCGCATACAATATATTTTAATTAGAGGTACACTGCTGTCATAGGCTGGGTTTGAAAAAGCATACTGTGTGCAGGTGACTTTAAAAGACACCTAATACCATGACAGGTGTTGTTAGAGAGTGTTGCCTTCTACCCATCTCCAAAGTCAAAAATAAGTTTTAAAAATGTCATGTTTGGATTCAAATCTGTGTGTTGTTTCCTACAATTGCTAAAAGGGCAGTCATTACATCTTTATTACTTTTTAAATACCTTAATTAATAATATAAGCTAATTTTACCAAATAACAAGATGTGTTGCTTAAACATGGATGTAAAAGTTGATGCTGTTTGGATTCTTAGATTGGGACCAACTTTAGTTACTGTTTTAATCGTGGTATGTATGACTTTGAACTTCCTATCAGTAAAGCCCTTTCTGTAAGTTACATCTGCGAGCATCTGACTCTGCTTGAAACCTTACATCAACATCAATATGATTGTCATACATTGTAAATACTTTTTTGGATTAGCAAATATGATGAAAAGATTATAACAAAATCTAAATAACATCATATTTCATCAAATTAAACCTGCATTTCTGAAGCAAATTATTTATGGTAGCTCTGTAACACAGTCCAGAAGAAATTCTGCTAAAGTGCATTTAAATGTTAAAAATTTCAAAATAATACAAAAAAACTTTGGAGACATTTGTCTGTGTGTAACAACATCCTTTAAATAGGATTTTTTTTCTCTCACTGTCTTTCACTTTCTTTCTCTTCCTACACTTTGTTCAGTTAAGTGAAAGTGAAACTTACCCCTTCAGGTTTATCCTTCAGTTCTGAGCGAATGTGAGTCTGTGTTTATGATATTTGTGTTTGCAGTCTTGTCATTCATTTGTCTGTGTTAAGTGTTTTTAACTTTGAGTCAGTGAAAAGAAAGGTGTAATTTTTAATCATACTTGTTTTGTTCTCTTCTCTCACATACAGAACCAGGAACTAGGAACTTCTTTCTGTTTGAGCTGCGGAACAAGACATTAGTGTTCTTCCCTTGTGTAATTGCTGTAAAATGACAGAATCCAGTATTTCAGTAGATCAAAATCAGTTCAGCTGCTCAATATGCCTTGAACTACTGATGGATCCAGTGACCACCCCATGTGGACACAACTTCTGTAAGCTGTGTATTAAGAGCTGCTGGGACGAAGAGGATCTGAAAGGTGTCTACAGCTGCCCTCAGTGCAGATGCTCCTTCACTCCAAGGCCCGTTGTGGGTAAAAACAACATGCTGGCTGAAGTGGTGGAGAAACTGAAGACGTTACACCAAGCTACTTCTACTGCTCACTGTCCTGCTGGACCTGAAGAGGTGGAGTGTGATTTCTGTACTGGGAGAAAACTCAAAGCCCTCAAATCCTGCCTGGTGTGTCGAGCCTCTTACTGTGAAACTCACATCCAGTCTCACTATGAATCTTCTGCCTTTAAGAATCACAAGCTGGTCAAAGTGTCCAGACGACTACAGGAGCAGATCTGTTCTGAGCATGAAAAACAACTAGAGGTTTACTGTCGCACTGACCAGCAGTGTATCTGCATGCTATGTACCATGGATGGCCATAAAGGACATGATACAGTATCAGGTGCAGCAGAAAGAGCTGAAAAACAGGTAAAATATACTATAACCTTCTTCTACCAACATTCTTTTGTGTGTGTGGTTGTGTATACTACGTTTGCCATCCTTTTATTGAGTTAAAGCTTTTCAGTATAATTTTTCTCCAAAAATGAAAGTAAAATCACAATACAATGTCTATTGTGTTCATTTACCCACCATGCAATTATCAATATTAAAAGAAACCAGTTCAGCTTTTAGATCATTCATAAGACTTTTGGCTCACTCATTCGACATGTGGGCTTGCACTGTCATCCCCCGCCCCGCCAAAGCATATGATCTAGGTGATGACTCATGTAACCTATTTGATTAGTTTGAATTTACTTGTACTTTCAGTTCGTTGGTTTAGACTGTGGAACTGATGTTAACTCTCCCCATTCTTACTTTAATCTCCTGGGAGAGAAAACAAGGTAGAATGTGCACACATCTACATTTCCTCATGTAGATGATTCTGAATGTGTTTGAAACATTTTATTAAAGCAGGCATTCTTAAACTGGTCCTCAGGGAACCCCAAATGGTCCACATATTCACACCAACACAACTCATAATGCATAAGGATAGAACAAAAATGTCAATCCTTTAAAAAAAAAACATGAATTTCACATCAATTAACATGTGGTTTTAGACACATTATATGTCACAACCATGTCAAAAAACATGAATACATGCAAATGTTACATTACAGATTTTTCACATGATGTTACATGTTTATTGTGATTTTGTTTTTGTTTGTTTGTTTGTTTGTTTGTTTTTGTAAAGACCCTACTGCTCCTTTTTTTGGTATCATCTATGTTTTCCAAGGACAGATTAGTTCAACCAGTATTCACTGCTTGTTGCTACTGTTTGTATTTATTGGGTTATGTGTATCTGTGTTTACAATACTTTTTTGGCCTATGTGCCCATAAGCTTTCTATTAGCAATCTGAATCTGAAAATATAATGCAGCAGGAAAGTTACAATGTGAGTGCACTAAACATGAATTTATCATTAACACCAACAAGCACATTAACAACACTGGGCATTTTTAAAGAATCAGTTACTGGAGACCCAAAGAAAATTCCAGCAGAAAATCCAGGAGAAAGAGAAGGAACTCCAAGAGCTAAAGAAAGCTGTGGAATCACACATGGTGAGTTTGAACTGCTCAGGAGAAGATCAAGAGCTGGTCTGTTGAGGAGCCACAAACTGCTCTAACCATATTTAGGAGACATGCTTATTCAATGTAAAAACTTTTTTTATAGTATTTTACTTTGTCAGATTGACCCATCCTCTGCATTCTAATGTGTTGTTTGATAGCTAAACCTGTGATGAAAAGTCTTTAAACTTAATTAGAAATTGTTGCAGAATAATGCCTCTTACTTAAATGCTGAGTGCATTCATAATTTCAAACAATATTTATTTTATGTGTAAAAGTTCATGCTGTGGATAAATTCAGTGTAGTTTTTATTGATGTGTATTTAAGGTAGTTTAAATGTCTCTGCCACTAAACTGTAGTCATTTTTACACAAAACATCATAAATATATCTGAATAATTAAATGATAGCTACCTCTAACAGACTCTTCGCCTATCTCTATGTGCTTTAACAGAGCTCTGCTCAGGCTGCAGTGAAGAACTGTGAGAAGATCTTTACTGAGCTGATCTGCTCCATTGAGAGAAAACGCTCTGAGCTATCAGAGATGATCAGAACCCAGGAGAAAGTGGCAGTGACTCGAGCAGAAGAAGCCCTGAAGAGATTAGAGCAGGAGATTGAAGAGCTGAGGAGGAGAGACGCTGACCTGGAACAGCTTTCACACACTGAGGACCACATACATTTTCTCCAGGTAACAGCGCTAGAGAAATTACCACACAGAGACCTAAACTTTCATAAATAGAAACATAGGCTTAAACTTTACCATGCAATAATACTGGAACTTTTGATCTTCAACTTACATGTAAAACATTATGATGTAGCTATGTGTGTGAGTGTAAAATTACTGAAAAAGAGCAATTAAGTTTTGCTTCATTTAACCCGTAGACGTCTGAAGTTATTAGTCATTTTTCTATATTATTTCAATATACAGTTGTATGCAAAGCTTTTAGCACCCCTGGTCAAATTATACAGTTTGTTGATTTTCTGTCTGAAAAGAGCATAACACCACCTCTGCATGGAAGATGACTTAAATGTGTCATATGACCTCAAAATGTAATGCACAATTATTTGTTTTCTTAATTGAACATTTGAACAAAATAAAACTTGTAGGGCCTGATGCATAGAATGCACCACCAGATTTACTGTACCATTAAGAGCAAATAGTGTGGCAACATATTCACTCATTCACTTAAAATCAATTTTACAAATATTTTACATGAGAACATTGCATTTTTATTAGTGAAAATGAATTTCTTCAAATGTCAAAACTCATCAAACTATATTATGTATTACTTTCATATGCATAAATTAAATTCCTGAGAATAGGAAATAAAAATAGAAAATAAAAGCTAAAGATGGATTGATGGAATTTTAGCATGTCAATTTAATTTTTTTTTTAATTACCACATGTTAAACTTTAATTCATGTTAGACAATACTGCAATTATAATGAATTAGAAAAAGGCTGGAATTCTCATCAATGAGAAATGAGATCTTACATGCTAAAATAGAATTTTATCATCGACAACAATCATGAGAGAGGGTGAAAGACATTTCAAAAACATAAGTCTGACTGACCTCTAGTCTGTGATGCAGTGATTTCTTGTGCTATATCAAATGTTTTTATTCTACTTGCCATACATAAATTAATATTCCCATAAAGTGGATGCTTAAACTCCAGTTTATACAACAGATACTGAAATACCAACAGCTCAACACTGATCTAACGTCAATTGTTTTAGATACACAAATTGACGCATGTAAAACCAAATACAACAAGTTACCAAATCATAGTTCAGATGACTAACTTACTGTTTTAACTGTAACTCAGATTTCTGATTTTGTAAGGTTTGATATTTATTTTCTAAACTTGTGTGGGAGAAGTATCAAGTCTGACCTGTGGTGTGTGAAGTCATTAGTCTGCTGGCCAGCAAGCTAACAGCCTCACATATCACAAAACCTGATTCATTTCTGCATTTCTATCACTCTAAAATCATTCAGTCGACTTCACTCACTCAAATTTTGCTAGCCTAGCATAGCAGATACCAGCTAGCTGTTAGCAAGTGATGCTCATTTTCATTACAAAATATACAAAATTTAACATTAACAAATTATAGGAAAACTATAGAATAAGGTTCTAGTAAATGTCCAATAAAAAACTGTTGCTATGTCAAATAAACCAGCTATTACTCAGCAAACGCATTTTGAAGCCTTCTTAAGTTTTAAGAAGTGGCTCTAAGCTTGCAGTTCCTGCTCAGTTGAACGTTGGTGATGTCTCAGATCTGTAAAGGCTCATTCAACACATCAGTAAAATGAATTATATTTTTTTAATTAACATTCTGCATCGACCGTTTTTTCACATTTTAATGATAATGTCAAAAAGGTAACAGAAATGTAAAACATTTATTTTTCTGCAAAATGGGACTGTGCACACAACAACTTTTTATAAAATATCTTCTCTTTTACTTGCACACACAACTGTGGTATGGTTTGAAAGATTAAAATCTGGACAGAATATATTTACTGGTTTCATTAGAGATAAATAATTTTAAAATTACAACATCATTTTATTGTTGCCTGTTACATCAATGTAAATGCAATTTTTAAGAGACAAGTGTTTATTTGAACATTCTCTCTTTTTTCTTTATTGTCCATTTTTTGTTTTCTTTTGTTTTCTTTTTGTTCTGTGTAGAGTTTCCCATCTTTTTCAGCTCCTCCTGAATTTGCCAGATGTTCAACCACTGTGTTCAGTCCTCTACTTACCTTTGAGGAGATAGTAAAGACTGTGTTTCAGCTGAGTGAGAAACTGGAAGAGCACTGTGAACAGGAATTTAAAAAGATATCCAGTGGAGGTAGATTACATTAATGTAGTAACTTCTTTTGGGCCAATTTGTTCACTGAAAAAACAAAAGAAACAAAATCTCCTGTCTATTCATTTACATGAAAGATATTCTGTTTTATTAAATGCAATAATATGACAGTGTTACTGCAAATTTTGCTTTTACAATAATCTGACCAGACTAATTGACAAAAGTACAATTTTCACTCTCTCGCTCTCTCTCTCTCTCTCTCTCTCTCTCTCTCTCTCTCTCTGTCTCTGTGTTCCTTTATGATATCTGTGTTAAATATTTCCACAGTGAAGGAAATAATGGTTGTTCCCCTTCCTGAACCCCAAAGCAGAGAAGAATTTCTTGAGTGTACGTCTACATCTCTTGCACACATATACACATTACTAGGAAAACAAATTATAACTAGACTAACAAATACCAGTAAAGAATCAAACCAGTCTTGGCCTGGTCCTACCCAGATTGATCACAGGCCCACCCAATCAAATATGGGAAGAGCATTTATTAAGCTGTATTTTTTTGTTTGTTTGTTTCTGTTGGTGCTGTGATTGTATTATAGCCAATCAAATCATTATGCTGTCCACCAAGCACCACCTTCTTTTCTCAGCTCCAATAACTGCTTAGCATTCGTTGCTATCCACCAATGCCTCGAGCCCTCGGTTTGTTATCAGAGTGTCAGTAATTGAATTTGAAGCTCCAGCTTTAGTTAACAATGTACCTGTTGGAGCTGTAAAAATGAGATTTCACCCCAATGCAATATATCAGTTTTACCCATCCAGAGGCAAAAACAAATTTGAAAAACTTTGTTGCTGTCAGTTTTGTGTGACTTTGGTACTTTAGATGTTCTGTGACTACAAAAGCTGTCAAAATGTCAAATTAAATAGTCTACTTAAATGCATCAGGTTCATCAAATGTAAGACATAAATGGGTTATGAATATTTTTATCCTCGCCATTGCAGTATGCCTTAGCCTAGGATAATTAGGTTTAAGTTTTTAAGTTTGCTGTGTAGCTCAGCAGCCAAACTGCAACTCAGTTATGTCATCGTCATTGGGCAAAAGTTGTGCCCGACATGAGCGGACATGCTTTATAGTGAGTGTTGCTGTAGTGCTGGTTGTGTTTATGTGAATCCACATTCTACTTGTTTGCTCTTGTTTTGTATTACCGTATGCCAGATGTGTTGGAATAGGAATGATGATGACTGTACTGCTGTCAGGAATTGGCAATAGCCTGATGTTATGTCATTGCAGGACAATAGTGCATTTGAAAATTATATTAAAGTTGAACAAGCCACTTTTTTGCAGGTTTACCCAAAAAAGTTCTACCTTTGGTTTAGGTGTAGGTTAATTTTCTTGATGGCTTTTCTGTCAGAATCTATCTGAGTCTTTATTCATTACAGCTAATGACATTTGTTTTTCCCCATCAGATTCCTGTGAGCTCACAATGGATCCAAACACAGTGAATACACTCCTCCACATGTCAGAAGGAAACATGGTGGTGACCTGCAGTGAAACAGTCCAGTCATACCCCCCTCATCCAGAGAGATTTGACTTTTATCCCCAGGTGCTGTGTAGAGAGAGTGTGGGTGGACGCTGCTACTGGGAGGTGGACTGGAGTGGAAGTGGTGGGCTTTATATTGCAGTCTCATATAAAGGCATCAGCAGGAAGGGAAATGGTTTCTTTGGATACAATGATCAGTCCTGGAGTTTGTTCTGCTCTCCCTCCAGTTACTCATTTGTACATAATAGCAAAGGTACTGTAATCCCCATAGGATCTGACTGCTCTAGAATAGGAGTGTATGTGGATTATAGTGCAGGAATTGTGTCCTTCTACAGCATCTCAGAAACAATGATCCTCCTCCATAGAGTTCAGACCACATTCACCCAGCCCCTCTATCCTGGGTTTTGGGTTGGTTTAGGATCAGCACTTAAACTGTCCCATCCACCGCAACAGATGATTATGAGTCCCTAAGAAGCTTTGTTTTAGCTTCACCTCCACTAAAAATAAATCCTAGTATGATTTTAATTATACTTCAATAATAATATAGAATGAGAAACTCCTTGTGTGTTCTGGTGCTGTATAACAGAACTGGTATTTTTGGATCCACAAAGAAATTACATGGAATAATGGAATAAATTTGAGAATCATTGATTATTTTCAGATTTCTTTCAGAAGAGAGAAGTGTTCTACACCGAAAATCCAAAAACCTTCCTGTATGAATCTTCCGTAAAATTCCGTATATTGTATATAATGCTTGTAAGTTTTCTTTTAGCAAAAATATATCAATTATGTATGTCACAGTCACAATTTGACAACTGTCACATTTGATGACAATCATGTAACCAGCAGTATCAGGTGGATAGTGACTTTATTTCTTCTGCACTACAGCTGATAAATAAAGGATAATGGTGCTCAAATAGTGACTTTTAGATACTTACATAACTGAGAAATATAATCAGCAATCACACAGAAATAATATGAAAAGCCATATTTTTATTAATGCACAAATCTCTGTTCAGTATTACACAGCTGTGTTACGTTCATTGTGTTGGGAAACAAAAATATCAGATCAACTGCAGTGTATTTCTAGGAGACTGTTACAAAGCTTGCATTTCCTTTTTGGCAAAGTGTTCTTTGCAAACGTGGCTGGTGAGTTTCAGGTCATTCTTTTCTTTATATTATTTTTTTAGCCTCTTTTTCTAGTCTAATTTAGAGCTAAATTTGTACACCTGCAGCTCACAACTAGGCCTGTTTTCACAAAGCTTCTCAGAGCAAGAGAGTTGACTTAGGATCTGTTCCTGTCCAGCATGTCATAGTAAATTAGAGCAGAAAATCTGGCTCAATATCTGTAGTTAGAGATCTGTATGTAATGCTGGGATCTGGTTTAACTTTTAAAGCACAGTTAATAACATTACTAATATAGCAAAGGCGAGACCCCATCTTGGGTTACAAGATACTAAAATACTGATTATCCTGTTTTTATCATTGTAATACATTGCTCACATGGCTTTCTAAACTACCACAAACTACAACTTGTTTAAAATGCAGCAGCAAGGACTTTAACATGTGCTAAAAAATGAGATTGTAATTAACCAGCTTTTATTATCACTCCACTGGCTGCCAGTTACTAACTGTAAAAAAAATCCTGTAAAAATGTATTGCTAGTTTTTAAAGCTCCTAATGATGCAGTACCTTCATACGTCTCTGACTGCCTAATAAACGTGTTGTGTTTACATGCACTTAATAATCCGATAACTGCAGAAAATCAGATTTTGTCAGTAATCCGATCATTTACATTCACCTGAGTAATCAGATAACGGGAAACTCCAGGACTACATGAGTCAGTAATCAGATTTCTGCTTTACAACCAGCCAATAAACTCACAGAAGAAGACGTGATGCAAATGTAACATACAACTCAAACTTCATGCTGCAGTTTTTTTTTAAATATCATACCACTGAAAATATGAACTTACATCATCTAGAAGATGAAGAATAACTCCTTTGAAATGAAACTCCTTAATTTCCTGTTTGGTTTCAGCACCAGTCCAGAAATGTTTTGCTGTGTCTCGCGACATCCACCGTCTGATCTTGCACATGCACAGACCGAGAAATCTAATAGAAATCAGAGTAAGACTTTACATGCACTGATAAATCTGATTACTGAGTTAAAATCGAGCTCTCTTTATTGGATTTCTAGATTGGTGTGTGGTGTTTACATGACCATTTGAATAATTGGATAACTACTGAAATCTGAATATGATCGGATTATTGAGTGCATGTAAACACACTCAATGTCCCAAATTCTGTCTTAACATCATTGAGTGCTGCTTCTCCATATGGTACATATGAAATTTAAAAACAGGTGGAGCAGTTTTTTGTTTTTATGAAATAAAGATCTGGAAAATGCTGCAAATAAACATTAGTCAGGCTCCTCTTAATGATTTTAAAAAACAGTTAAATCTCTTAATTTTAGCATTTAAACAGCTTACTTATAAATAGCTTATTTATTGTTTATTATTTTCATTATAAGGCATTATTATTTTTATTGTTTTATTTTTGTTTGTTTATATCATTGTCTTTGTTATTGTTCTTTTTTTGTCTCAGCTTTTATTGTGTCTTATTGTTTGCTGATATTACTACTTTATTTGACTATAACTAGTTTCTTTTTTTTCTTGATTGTTTTTTAGTTCACTGTAAAACATTTTGAGCTGTATTTTGAATGTGTGAAAAAGTAATATTCAAATAAAGATTGTTATGACCTACCTTATCTAATCAATCCTTCATTAAATTAAATCAGGTGCTGCTGATGGAATTGAAAAAATCCATGTGAAAGCTGTACGGCATTGGGAAGTCAGGAACCAAACCTGTGTTTGTCACGCTTCCTGGTTCTCATTCGGACTCCCAGACCACCAAGAACTCCACTTCCCAGAATCCTTCAGTCAGTCACGAGACTCTGCCAACCAATCACCAACCACCTAACAGATCACAGTCACCGGAATACTAATCATCATCACCTGTTGCACTCTGTATTTATACCGGTTTGTTTGAAACGTATCTTTGCGAAGTATTGCCCTTACCTAGTCTGTGCATACCGAGCCGTTTGTTTTTCTGATTGCTACTCCGTGTTTGACCTCGCTTGTTTTTTCGTTTTCGATTCTCGTCTCTGTCTTGGCTTTGTTGTTTTGGTTTTTGTGCTATTTCTGGTTACGACCCTCGCCTGTTTTTTCGACTTCGCTTTCGCCTATGCCCATGTATTTCGTCTGCTTGTTCTGGTTATTGGCCTGGTCTGGTGTTAACCCTGTTTACTCCCGTCAGAATAAATCTTCCGGATTAACTTTTATCCGCGTGTGTCTGGTTTACAAACCCTGCGTTACAGAATACTTCGCCATCATGCAGACAGCGGATATAAAGGAGATCGTCTCGGCTGTGAGTAACCAGGGTGCTATTTTAAATCAGCATAATCAGTTATTTGAGTCTCTTACTCACTCTGTCGGCTCCCTCACACAACAGCAGAGTGAGCAGCAACAACAGTTAGCATCCATAGCGAATAGCCTAAAGGAGATCACATCTCAGCTCCAGAACATGAATGCTAGCGGATCTAGTGAAACTAATCCTAGTCCTGTTGTTTCTCTACCTACTCCAACTAGTGTTTTCCCTGTTAGTAAGCCCGACAAGTTTGATGGTTCGCCAGACCAGTGTCGCGGTTTTTTGCTTCAGTGTTCGATTTTTTTTAGTAACTCGGCTCCTAGTTCAGACACCGCGCGTATTTCATTTTTAATTTCACGTCTTACTGGTCGAGCCCTGGAATGGGCCACTGCAATCTGGCCGCAGGCGCAATTAGACACATATGAACAGTTCGTTAAAAAATTCAAATCCGTTTTTGATCACCCTCATGAAGGACGCTCTCAGGGGGAATTACTCGTTAAACTGCGCCAACGAAACCGCTCCGTCGCCGACTATGCCCTGGAATTTCGTACGCTAGCCGCTGGCAGTGGATGGAATGAGCCAGCTCTTATCATTGCTTTTCGAAATGGACTTAATTCAGACATTCTATCCGAATTGGCTTGCAAAGATGATGATCTGTCATTAGAGGGACTTATTAGTTTGGCTATTCGGTTAGATCAGCTGAGATCCTCAAGAACTTCCTCACGCCCTTCAGCCATGGCTCACCACCGAGGAAGTTCCACTACCCATGCTTCACCTGCCAGTATCCCCAGCCAGGATCAAGCTCTGGCCGAGCCCATGCAGTGTGATTCCACCCGTCTGTCACAGGAGGAGCGGCTTCGAAGGTTACAAAGAGGCCTGTGCATGTATTGTGGCGTTGCTGGTCACGTTTTACGTGACTGTCGGGCGCGTCCGCATAGACCTCAAGCACCGACCCCTGGAAAGCGCGTGGAGAATACTCCACGCGCTAATGTGGTGAGTGTTCCCACGAGGGGGTTGGTTACGAAGTCGTTTCAGCTGCCTGTGACTTTGTGCTGCCTCAATTCTGCTTATGTTTTTTCAGCCCTAATTGACTCCGGAGCAGAGGGAAACTTCATCCACCGATCCCTCGTAGAACAACTTCAGCTTCCTGTTGAGACCCTTCAAGCATCTCTACGATTATCAGCGGTGGATGGAGACCCAGTTGGAGAGGGTGTCATCGACACTCTCACAAGGCCTGTTATTATGTACACCAGCGCTCTTCACAAAGAGGAGATCAGCTTTTTTGTATTGAACACTTCAGCCTATTCAGTGATTTTAGGTTTGCCCTGGCTGCACAAACACAACCCAAACATTTCTTGGTCTGAACGTGAGATCTGTAGCTGGTCCCCCTTCTGTCACGAACAATGTCTAGAACTTCCCAGTCTGAATTTGAGCTCCACGTCCATTGAAAGTCCAAATTCCGACCAACCTTTAGTCATTCCCCCTGATTATGATGACCTGAAAACAGTTTTTAGCAAGCACAAGGCCACTGAACTCCCTCCTCATCGTGAATATGACTGTGCTATCGAACTCATAGAGGGTGCTGTTCCACCTAAATCTAGGGTCTACCCCCTAACTCAGGAGGAGGATAGAGCTATGGAAGAGTATATTCAGGAGGCCTTATCTCAGGGGTTCATCCGTCCTTCCACTTCACCTGCAGCAGCGGGGTTCTTTTTTGTGAAGAAGAAGGACGGAGGACTGAGGCCGTGCATAGACTATCGAGGACTTAATCTTATTACCAAGTCTTACCCTTATCCGCTGCCACTCGTGCCCGTAGCCTTGGAACAGCTCAGAGGCGCCACTATTTTTACCAAGCTAGATTTACGCAGTGCCTATAATCTTGTCCGAATCAAAGAGGGAGATGAATGGAAGACTGCATTTATCACCACCAGGGGGCACTACGAGTACTTAGTGATGCCTTTCGGTCTTTCCAACGCACCTTCCGTCTTCCAAGCCTTCATTAATGATGTGCTAAGAGACATGTTAGGCAAATTTGTCATCGCCTACATTGACGATATCTTGATTTACTCCCCAGATCTTTCCACACACATTAGTCATGTCCGTCAGGTTTTGGCCCGGTTGCTAGCAAATCAATTGTTTGTAAAAGGGGAGAAATGTCAATTCCATTTGCAGTCCACATCCTTTCTAGGATACATAATCAGTTCCGAAGGAGTCACCATGGATGACTCTAAAGTAGACGCAGTCCTGAACTGGCCCGTCCCCACTTCTATCAGG